ATTATAATTTACCCATGCAGGTAATTATAAAAATCATATAAAAACAAACGGCTTTTTTTTATTATTATCAAAAGTTTTTATATATTTTTAATTGATTTTTTAGAGACAGAGAAACATTTAACATGAGAGAGAAACATCAATTGTCTGCCTCCTACACGCCCCCTACTGGGGATTAAGCCTGCAACCCAGGCATCTGCCTTGAGTGGGAATCCAACCGGACCTCTCAGTCCATGGGAGGATGCTCAATCCACTGAGCCACACCAGCCAGGCTATTATCAAAAGTTTTAATCAAAGAACCACTTCCTAGTTTTCAATTAATAGTTAGTGATCATACTCTAAGTACAAAATTCACTTTTACAAACTATTGAAGACACACTGCTAATAAATAGCTTGTGCTCAATGAAACAATCACCTAAACGTTTCATATTTGGAGCTTTAAATCTGTCAGCAATAGCCACTGATACCATTACTCAGAAGACCTATTATTGCTTCATTGAGTATCCACAGTACGAAAGATGACATACCAATGCACAGAATAGATGTCAGTCAATGAAACATTAATATTCTACTAATACACTAGTAAAGTAAAACCTAACCACTCAGATCTTTTCGTTAACTGGACTCATTCCAGGATTTTACTTAGCTCTAAAGAGACAAGTGATTTTTAAAATGACCTATTAGTAATTAAATAAGAGTTCTAATAATCAAATAAGTTAATACTTTTTTTAAAATGTCCTGCAGTGATTAAAGTTTTAGCCCAACATCCCCTATTATCTACGTCTACAAGCCTGTACAATGAGAACTGTTGTTAATAGATATGATCCTCAGGCATAACAAGAGATTCAATTATCAAAGGAAGATAGGATTATACTTGAATATCACCTTTCATTATTTAAGCTTTCACCAAAAGTTTTACCAAAATATATCATTATCCAGAAATTCCAAGTGATACACTGTATCGGCAATGTTAAGGTAAGTTATGTCTTGTCAGGCATCTCAAAGACATAGGAGGAAATCAAATCAACGTTGGGGTGGGGAGGCACTGCAAATTGAAGAGAATGATCAACTGCATCAAATGTTGCTAAGTCAATTAAGATGAGAACTGAGAACTGACCAGGGATTCAGCAGCATGAAGATCTTTGGTGACATTGATAACAGTTTTGATAGAATGATGAGGTGGAAGCCTGGCTGGAGTGAGTTGAGGAGAGAAAGTGAGAGGTGAGAAATCAGAAGCAATCAATACAAAATAAAATTAGGGGAGGTGTTTTGCTTTAAAGGAGAGTAAAAATAGAGCAGTGGATGGCTAGGGAGATAAGGTCAAGAGAAGGCTTTGTAAAATGAGACAGGTTGTTTGTATGCTGCTGGGAATGGCAGAAGAGAGAGGAGAAAAATTATTGGAGCAATGTCCCTGAGTAGTTGAAAAGGAATGGAACCTTGTACACAAATGGAAGGATTTGGAACATAAAAAGTTCACCTATAGTGACAGGTAGCAAGACAAACTATATGAGTGCAGGTACTAAAAGTTAGGTAGATATATATGGTGGTGGAAGTTCTCTTCTGATTGCTTCAGTTTACTCAGTAAATTAAGTAGCAAGGTCATCAGCAGAGTATACAGATAGGTAAGAGTTCTGAGGATTGAACATCAAAGTAAAGGTGTGAAATAGTCATCTAGGAGCACAGCTGAGGGACTGGAATGTATAAAATAATTGTCTGGAAACATCAGGGCCTACTTGGGGCTTTGGAAAAGCGATGTTTCCAAATCATCTGTAGGGCATTAGTAGATTAGAACAGGCAGAACCTAAAGGACAGGAGGAAGACCAGTTAGGAGGCTATTTTAATAGCCTTGAAGAAACAAATAGAGAGGGATATTGTCAAAACTAGGGCAAGAGCAGCTGGAGGACAACTGAGGAAACAGATATAAGAGTCATTGCAAAAGCAGAGCCAATGGGATTTGGCAAGCAATCAGAAGCGACTGAGAACACCAATGGCGTGGAAGATAGCCCAGAGGTGTCAAGCTTAAGTGAACTGGAGGAGGGCAATGCCACTGATAAACTCCAAGAGCTATTTCAATGCTGTAAAAATTAGTAACCAATCGGCAGAGTAAAGCGGTAAGGATAATCGGAGGGAGGCTTGAGTGAAGAGAAGAAAGTACAAGAGAAAAATCAATTTTAAAAAATCTATTAAAACAAAAGTAAAAGTGTTAATAGTATCAAGGAATGTTTCTGTTTTGTTGTTATCATCACTGTTTTGGGTGATTAAGATAAGGCAACCAGGTGGTAAATTCAGGGGCAATCTAGGTGATCTAGAAATACTGGCAACTGAAGAAAAGAACAGACCTCTATTTGATAAAGAAAGGGAATGAATACACATTTATAGTTATTTATACAGAGAGCTTATAGGCCAGGCACTATTCTAAGAATATCATCTCCTTTAATCCTTAAAGATAACCACATGAGGTAGATCCTTTTATACCTTTGTTACAGTTAAGGAAAATAAAGTGTAGAGAGGTTTACATAACCTTTGCAAGGTAATGCGATTAACAGCAGAGCCAGAAGTCAAATCCAAGTCAGAATGGCCCCAAAGTCCATGTTCATAACCACTACACAATACATACTTTGTAAAATGAGGAGCCTGGGAGAGGTAGCATAGCTTATTTAGCTTCTGAGGAGAATCTCCGAGTTAGAGATCTTACACAGGTGGAATCATTCCAAAGAACGACAGAGTCCAAGGTGTACTCATGCCAATAATTAGCTAAAGACATAGATGCAGAAATCCGAGTTTAGGAAATCAAGGAACTAAGAGCAAAAAAGCATGGGGTTGGCAACATAATAGTTGAAATCAGGAGCAAGGGAAAAGGCCAAAGGAGAGCCAGGTGCTTTGATTACCAAGGAAGGTCAGCAGATCATAGACTTCACCAGAGAAAGGGTTGCTGAGAGATGGTTCAAAGATGGCATGGAAGGAGCAGGAGCAACAAGTGTGTGCAGGGTGTACCACTGGACGGGGAAGACCGGCTGAAGAGGGCAGAATGTCAGGACTTGTGTCAGCGAACAAGCCAGACATAAGGAATACTCAAGGAAACGTTCAAACATAAAGGAAATTAGTTTGTCTTCATTCAACACCTTTCAACTGATTATATATATATATATATATATACACATACATATACATATACATATTTTTTAATCCTAACCCGAAGACATTTTTGCATTCATCTTCAGATAGAGCGGGAGGGAGAGAGGGGGGAAGAAAGAGAGAGAATCATCGATGTGAGAGACACATCGAGTGGTCACCACCCACATGACCCCAACTGGGGCCAGAGATGAACCGCAACCGAGGTACGTGCCCTTAGCGGGACCCGAACCCAGGACTCTCTGGTCCGCAGGCTGGTGCTCTAATTGCTGAGCCAAACTGGCCAGGGCTCAACTGATATTTATTGAAGGCCTATCAACTCTTCTTCTAGGCTCAGGAGGGAAGGGGGTGGGGGTAGGGTGGGAAGAGGGGTAGTGACAAGTTGTCCCATAGTGAGCAGAGTAGAAGGGTCTGGATTTTCAGTGATTCTTTTTTTATTCTGGTGTGGGTGAAGCGACCTTGGAAATTCCTGTGAACTCTAATTCTAAATAAATAGACATCCACCCCAAAAATTCACAATGCAAAGTGGGATAGAATTATAAATGAATGAATCATCAGTCAGGATCTCAACTTCTTGTCTGGTCAAGCACACCAATGTATTATGGCCCAAATCCTCATCTCTCCCCTCTCCTACCATAAATTACTGAATACTCGCCCTGGCCAGTTTGGCTCAGCGGTTAGAGCGTCCGCCTGCGGTCCGGAGAGACCCGGGTTCGGTTCCCGCTAAGGGCATGTACCTCGGTTGCAGTTTGTCCCCGGCCCTGGTTGGTCGTGCGGGTGGCAGCCACTCGATGTGTCCCTTTCACATCGATGTTCCCCTTTCTCTCTCTTCCTCTCTCTCCCTCCCACTCTGTCTGTACAAAAAATGGAAAAATGTCCTCGGGTGAGGATAAAAAAAATAAATAAATAAATAAAATAAATTACTGAATACTCAAAATATTATACAGAGTGTCCCAAAGAAAATGTATGCAGGGTGTCTATAGATTCTATTAGATTTTGAAAATGAAATGTATTTTAATAAACACTGTCTTTATAATCTTCAAAGTTGTGTATACACTTTTTGGGACACCCTACATTTATTATCTAATATGAGATATAATACAGACCACAAGCTATAAAATATAAGCAACATGCTAGGAAATGTTGGTCGTGTGACTGTTGCTATAGAACAAACTTGGAGGAAGTAATTCCTCTGCCCTGACTACTGTTTTTATAACTTCTTCCCTCCCAATTCTATTTCATATACCGAACAAGATACCTTGTGCAGCAAAGAGGACTTAGACCTCTTTTGCCTTACAGAAATAGGAACACAAATCAGTTAACTGAAAAATTGATTCGATGTGCCAGAGACTACGAAATACTAGAGAACAAAAGTAAACAAGACCGGCCCTGCTTTTAGGAGCTCATACTGGAAGAGATAAGCAAGAATATTTAGCTGAAAAAACAGATACTTTTGCCCTTGCTGGTGTGGCTCTGTGGTTAGAGATTTGGCCCGCACACCAAAGGGTCTCGGGTTTGACTCCTGGTCAAGGGCACATGCCTGGGTTGCAGGTTTGATCCCTGGCACAGTTGGGGCACATGCAGGAGGCAACCAATCCATGTGCCTCTCTCACACTGATGTTCTCTCCTCCCCGCCCCCTGCTTCCGCTCTCCCTAAAAATCAATGGAAAAAATATCCTTGGATGAAGATTAACAACAACAACAACAACAAAATAACAGATACTTCTGAAAATAATTCTGCTGTATGAACAAGTTTCTGGTCTCCTTTACATGACATACACACGTTCCATACAAACATATCTACTTAAAACCCAATGCTGTTCTATGCACATGCATTTTAAAATTACAACAAAATCAGGGGTCTACCTTACCATCATTTTTTCAAAGAGATCCAGTACTTCCTTTTCTGACAAATTCGAAGACCGTTCATCGTATAATGGCTGAGGTGCTGGAAATTCACTCATCGCAACTAGGGAATCAATAGGATGTTGAATAAGATGTTTTTCTTTTTTGACAGTAGACTTTCTAAAACTTGTAATTCGGTCACGCTGCAAAGAGAAAAAAACATAAGCAGATAAGCCCTAAAAAAGAGATCAGGAATCATGAATGTGAAGAACTGGTACATCAAAATGGCACTTAGTATGATATACATCATAACTGTCTTTTGACAAAATGTTATTTTAAGCAGCAAGCTCCAATTAGAGATTGTACTATTTTGAAATCCTGAAGTAGCTCTTTAGCCTCAGCAGTCTCGGGGGTGAAACATATTCCTCAAAAGTAAAAGTTAGCCCGGCTGGTGTGGCTCAGAGATTGAGTGTCATCCCATGGACTGACCTCTGGTCCCAGTTCGATTCCCAGCCAGGGCACATGCCCGGGGTTGCGGGCTCGATCCTCAGTAGGGGGCGTTCGGGAGGCAGTTGATCAATGTTTCTCTCTCACAATGATGTTTCTATCTCTCTCTTCCTCTTCCTCTAAAAAAAATCAATAATAATTTTTTAAAAAAATGAAAAGTTAGTCCTCTGTCATTTCTATTTTGCACAGGATGTAGGTAAACAAAAAGTCCTGTGTCAAAGTCATTTGGTTGTTTCAGGGAAAATGTGTCTTTGTTGGCAACTTTCAAACCACGAAAAAAGGGGAAAGAAAATAAAAAGAGCTTCCAATAGCCAATTCTAAGGGGAAATTATAGTAATGCTTCTCTTCTTCAAAGTGACAAAAATTGTGACAAGTATCTGTGAATACTTTGTCAGTGCAGCAGTAGAATATAATGGTTAAGAGCATAGAATCTGGCCTGTCCAGTATGGCTCAGTGGTGGAGTGTCGACCCATGCACCAAGAGGTCACCGGTTCGATTCCCGGTCAGGACACATGCCCAGGTTGTGCGCCTGATCCCCAGTGGGAGGCATGCAGGAGGCGGCCAATCGATGTTCTCTCTCATCAATGTTTCTCTCTCCCTTCCTCTCTCTAAAATCAATAAAGAAAAAAAAAAAGAGCACAGATTCTGAAGCCAGACTACCTTACCTGAGAATGAACCTGCCTTTTACTAGCTTAGTTAGCCTGTGTAAATTAGCTGGTCTCTCTGTTTCCTTGTCTCTAAAACAGCATAATAACTTAACATTCATTACAGGAGTAAATAATATTACCTACACCATAGGATTATTGTGAGAATAAAATAAACTGATATGCTTAATGCATTTAGCAGCTATTTATTATTGTTGCTATTCTTGCTATTACTATTATTATTATTTCCCCTACCTTTTCTTTCTTCCCTAAAAAGTGGGACCAGCAAGATAAAAAGTGGGACCGTTTCCATTTACTGGAAACACAACATAAACAGAAATATCTTCATCCTAGAAACACTATTATGAAGAGCTCACTGTTTAATAGATATTGACTCTGAACCATTGATTCCATGTACAATCTCTAATAATTAGCTTGCTATTTCACATAAAGTGGGTTAACGACTCCAGTCGCTTGTAAACAGGCCATTCTGTTTTAAAGCACAAAACATTAGACATCAAAAATTAGTAAGGACCATAAAACCGAATGCAACTCAGTTTTATTCTGGTTTCTGTTAGGAAGCACACGCATGCATACTGTCAGCTCGCGTTAAACAAGCAGCCACGGTCAGATGCGAGGACAGCACATCTTCGCGGCCATGTTACCGAGGACTTCCAAATGACATCAACAATACAAGCAGCATCAAGAAGTCATCACCACAACTTGCGTAAGTTTCTGTTGACCTCCCATTAAAAAATACGTACTTTCCATTTTGATTCAAAGAACACTCGCTTGTTTTGTTTTTTTTAATTAAAAGGTGTGCTTTGAAAGAAATATGAACGGTTTTAAACAGCTTATTTAGGATTACAAAAAAATGATTTTAGTACATGGTTGTTTACAAAGAAATTATAGAAATTGTAGTATTTTAAGCTGGGAAGAAACTTGAAAAATCATCCAGACCAACTCTTCTCATTTCACAGAAAAAGTGACTCGCGAAATGCATGAGTCTCTGATTCCTATCCCAGTGTTCACAGATTCATTTTCTCGAATCATCTTGGAGTATATTTTCAAATTTTCTTTTAACTGTTTGAGGAAAATTAAGTTGGTGTAGATGTGAAGAAAAAAATATTAAGCAATCCCAAATAAGCCGAGTACGTATCCAACAAATTTCACAAAAAATATGATGGACATAAAAGCATTTAAATATGCAATCAACCACTAAATCAACATATACTCTGTTCCTGTCCCTTCATATCACTTAATATTTACTTTATTTACATATATATTCGATCTTTCACTAAGTCCTTCATTCCTATCTAGAAAATTGACTTTTGCTTTCAGCGATATGTTGATAAAAAATGAAGTTAAGCCCTGGCCGGTTTGGCTCCACGGTTAGAGCATCGGCCTGCGGACCAGAGAGGCCCAGGTTCGGTTCCCACTAAGGGCACGTACCTCGGTTGCAGTTTGTCCCCGGCCCCAGACAGGGCCATGTGGGTGGCAGCCACTCGATGTGTCGTCTCTCACATCGATGTTTTTCTCTCTCTCTTCCTTCCTCTCTTCCTCCCACTCTATGTCAAGATAAATGCAAAAAATGAAATGTCCTCGGGTGAGGATAAAAAAAAAAAAATGAAAGCCACATACTTTCACCTCCTTAAATCACTAACAATATTTTACATTATTTGTAGATAGGTAATTTCACCAGGTAAAAAATTGGCACTGCTTAAAATACCGTTTTTTAAAAGTTTAGCTATAAAAGGGCACATTTAAATTTTAAAGCCCATAACTTTTAAGACGTTTTACTATGATAGACTCAGCTCAAAAATACTTAAGGATTTTAAATATCTGACTAAAATAATGAACTTAACTTCCTTCCTATGTCAAATTAATTTCTTTCAATACTCATGTTACTAGTTAACATATTCACCGTCAATTTACTTGGCTATCAAAAAAGAAAACATCTGGATTTTCCAGAGTGATATTTACATAGAGATTTACACTATTTGGCTAAGATATATATCAAAATGATAATATCAAATTGTGTTGCGATTTTATATAATTGTTTATGTTACAATTCAAACAAAGAATTCTTCCATTCTACCATACTTGGTAAACATCCAAACATTCTATATCTTACATATATCAATGCTTTCATGTCCAGTCACTTAAACAAAAAGGCAACATGCATAAGTATTGTAATAGCATGCTACTAGACCACCTTACCACATCATCTGCCAAAGTTTTTATTTGAATGTTCTATTAAAACCAAAAAAGAAAAAAAAAAAAGAAAAAACACCTGTCAATAAGAGAAATTCAGATAAAACAAGAAAATAATTGAATGATTCTCATTTTTATTTTATCAAGTATAACTAGTCGAAAAGAATCAGACAGGTTAAATACATAAATAAATGTTTACAAAAGGGAAAAAAACAACTTTTTAAGAATTAAAAATGAAGGGGGGGGGGGGGTTGTAAAGATGACGCCCAAGGTCCCAAAGTCACATTTGGATCAGATATCATGACCACAGTGCTCAAACATGACAAAAGATACAGAGAAGTCATAAGCCCTTTCAAGTTTTTTCAAAGTTTCAGAATGATCATGTTTTTATAATACATATATTTAAAAATATATAAATAAGACAATGTCACATTTAATAGTAATAAAATATAATAAAATAGCTTAGTCTAGAACTCCATTACATCTGATGGATACTTAAAGGACACCTTTATAAACAGTCTAGATAAAATAGAACTTAGTCCTTCTTTTAATACATGTCCATTTCTCAAAAACTCCAACCCTTTCTTTGGATGTAGTTTTCTACTTCCAATGCTGAGAATCACTGGAAATGATGTATTATAGTCAATAAAATACAGTGGTTAATAAAAACTACCACATAACATACACGGGCATGATTTGAAGAACCAGAATAGAGCAATACTAAAGGAAGCAAAGTAACAGCTAATAATTTAGTAATCTTTCATGATTCAGAACATACTTCAAGATCTTACCATAACACACAATCAGCATGAAGGGCAGTTATTATTACATTAAAAATATGTTGAACTGCCAACTAAGAGACATAATTAGGGAAGAACAGGTTTTGTTTAAATCGCTTGTTAGGAATTGAAATTAACCTTTCTGCTACATCCTGTACATTTATTTCCTACAAAATAAACTGACGATATACATCAACTTGGTCGTGCATGCTCACATCCCTTTTTACTAACAAAAATATGATCTTCTCACTGATGGGGAGAAGTCCATTATGAGTTTTAAGGAAGTGAGAATTATTTGGACGCAGGATCTCATGAAATTGTCTTCAAATACCACCAACCAAATGCTGTTCAAGACCATCCTCCCCTCGATCGGCTGGGACAAAATACACTGTTATAGGCACAATTTATTTGCTACTTTTAATCCACAGATTCCCTCAGGGATCTACACCTTTATACCACGTCTTTATCACACCGTGCTGACACAGACCCCCATCAATCTTTACTGTCTAAGGAAAATAAAAGAGTGGGCTTAACTAGATCAGAATGGAAGCCATTTTAAGAGAGCTCGCCCTAGGACTCTCTCTAGCTGGTATTTTCTCTTTAATTCTCCCAGTGGGTTACCAAAAACTGCTTTATGCTTTGCACCATGACAAGCTTCACGATCTCCTGTAATGTTAAAACACAGTGTGAAATGCCAAGGTCTCAAAAGTACCTCAACTACCTAGTTTCCATCCGGATATATACCTGTCCACCTATGTTAGACAGACTATACAGTTCCTCAAGCAACTCCTGCTTTTCTTCTCTTCCCATCCTGTGGGGTTATAAACTCCAGGCTAAAAACAGATCTATATCTTCACAGTGAGAATGTAAATTAGGGGAAAATATAATTTGATTTGGTCAAATTCTCTAAGGTGAAGTACACATATGTCTGGAATGCTTTAAATCTATATCTCAGTTGATGTTGACAGTTTAATATGGGGACAGAAACAAGGGGGGAAAAAGTATGGTTAGCAACATATTCACCTTGTGTATGGGAATAGACTGGAGTTTTTTTCTCTTTTTTAAATTAACATATTTTGTCCACATTAAATCACACATTATGGAATTATAGACTATTAAAGTTGGATGGAGCCCTGGCCAGTTTGGCTCAGCGGTTGAGCGTCGGCCTGCGGACAAGAGCGTCCCGGGTTCAGTTCCCACTAGGGGCACATACCACACACAAAAAAGTTGGATGGAATTTGAGATCATCTAATCAAACCCTCTCATTTTATAAATGATGAAACCGACGCTTGAAGATAATAAGTTACTTGCCAAAGGACCACAGATCTGGTTATTACATGATACTAAATCTTAGTCACCATCTGACCTTTTCAGTGAGTATAATTAAGCTCTAGGATATTAGGATCGAATTACCGAATTGAAACAGTTCGTGGTAATCTCAAATTCACACACATCTGTTTTGGGGTAACTGCCTTTTGCCATCGTTACCCAGGGGGTCAAGATTCCTCCCAAAGAGCATTCCCCTGGCACCCACAGTCCTTCCTCAACACATCTTACATGTCATCCACCGAAATGAATTTGAACAATACACTTTATGTTCTTCCAGTGGATAATTAGTTCTTCGTATACAAACTATATGCTAACTTAGATTACTCAGTCTTTCATAATTATTATTATTTTATTTTTATTCCTCACCTGAGGACACTTTTCTACTTATCAGCAGATAGAGTGGGAGGGAGGGAGAGAGAGACAGAGAGAAACATTGACGTGAAAGGGACACATCGAGTGGCTGCCTCCTGCACGATTCCACCAGGGCCGGGGACAAACCGCAACCGAGGTACGTGCCTTTGGCCAGAATCGAACCCACTACTCATTGGTCCACAGGCCGACACTCTAACTACTAAGCCAAACTGCTAGGGCTCTTTCATAATTCTTAAATTTTACCTTCCAAGTTATTCCTTAATACTGCCATAATTCTAAAAGACCACTTCTAGGTGGATGGCAGGAGGGAAAAATGGGTTTGCAATTAATAGCCCAATGGAAACACTACCGGAGCACAAAGTAGGCAAAATGTCTCAGATAGTCAGGACGGACTTTCTAAAACAAGGGTAAAAGCCCTGGCCGGGTTTGGCTCTGCGGACCAGAGAGTCCCTGGTTCGGTTCCCGCTAAGGGCATGTACCTCAGTTACAATTTGTCCCCGGCCCCAGTTGGGGTCGTGTGGGTGGCAACCAGTCGATGTGTCTCTTTCACACATGGATGTTTCTCTCTCTCTTCCCCACTCTCTCCCTCCCGCTCTATCTGAAGATAAATGCAAAAATGTCCTCAAGTGAGGATAAAAAGATAAAAATAAAAATAAAATAAAAAAATTAAAGGAGGGTAACATTTATTAATGGTTACATCTGCATTGCATTTATCCAGGCTTGAGATTCCCGCCACCTTGGTCTCCTCCCTTTCTTCATTCCCTGTAACCAAGCAGCATTCAAGTCCCACGGTCGTCTTTCTGCAGTTCCCTCTTCATCCTCACGCAAACCACCCCAGTGTAGACTAATCAGCAGCAAGCAACCGCCTCCTAACTACCTCAGCTTCCATTCTTTTCTCACTGCCAATGTCCTCTTCTGAAAACAGAGGTCTGGTTCAAGCCGCCATCACCTCTCACCTAGATTTCTGCAAGAACCTCTTAATCTGTCCCCCTGCTTCCACCTTCACCCCCCCTCCAATTAATTTTGAACAAACCAAAAGTGATACTGTTAACACCGAAATCAGATCATGTCACTCCTCGGCTCAAAACTTTCCAATGAGCCCTGGCCAGTTTGGCCCAGCAGTTACGGCATTGGTCCACAGACCAAGGAGTCCCGGGTTCGATTCCGGTCAAGGGCACGAACCTAGGTTGTGATTCGTCCCCGACCCTGGTTGGGGTCATGCGGGAGGCAGCCACTCGATGTGTCCCTTTCACGTCGATGTTTCTCTCTCTCTGTTCCTCTCTCTACCTTCCACTCTATCTTAACAAAAGTGGAAAAATGTCCTCGGATGAGGATAAAAAAAAAGCTTTTCAATGACTATTTTCACTGCGAGTGAGAGCCAGGATCCTTACAATGGCCTCCAGGAAGGCCCTATTGATCCGAACACTCTCTATATCCCTCTGACCTCATCTCCTACTACTGTCCCTTTCATCCACTCTGCTCCAGTCACACTGACCACCTCACTGTTCCTTAATAACGCAATAAGCCACGTGCACTAGCTCTGCCCTGTGCCTGGGATGCTCGTTTCCATTATGCATACAGCTTACTCCATCACCACCACCACCACCACCACCGCTTCCGAGTGTTTGCTCAGTGAGGCCTACTCTGTCCATCTTATTGAAATGGAAAGACAACCTCCTCTGCACAGGCCTGATCTGCCTTACTGTGTGCTTTTCCTTGGTTCAGTAGGACTTCGCACATTTTAACACAGTCTATAATGTACTCCGTACTTTTTTGTCTGTGAGCTCCATGAGAATAGGGATGTTCACCTGTCTGGTTTAGGGACGCATCCCTAATGCCTAGAGCTTTGCTTGGCAAAGGCACACTAGCGATTATAAATGACAACCGCACGCATGTTCATATTCCATGGCTTCTGATGACCTACAAAATAAAGACTAATAGCCTTAATGTGGCATTCTAAGTCCTGTGTGGTTCAGCCCTAGCTCTATTTCTTCCGCTTCTTCCCTTCCCTCGTGATTCGAATCCTATAGAAAACAAAAAAGGAAATCCTGAAATCCTTTTCCCGAATGTATGGCCCAGCATGTCCAGTCCGTGTACTCACTGTCTCCTCTACCTGAAATGCCCGTCTAGCTAGATCCATTTCTATTTTTAGAGCTCCCCTTGAGTGTAATGGTTGACTACTGATAAACCAAAAGTCAAACATAATACTGGAGAAGGGTTATGCTTTTTTTTAATGTTTTCGTAAAGATTTTTTTTTTTCCTAACAGGCATCTTCAAGAATGATAGAGCACACTGACGCACATAGGAAATTATAGTCATGTAAAAAAATTATTGCAATTTCTTGTGATGGAGAACTATAAAGAAAAATCACTCTACTTGTGATTTCCTGATTTATAAGTTTCATTCAACTACAGAGTATATATCTTACATAACTAAGCACATTTGGCTAATATGGATATTTTCTCAGAGATTTCCCTCATGTGAAAATCTACTTGCATAAACATTATCTTGATACCACTATTTTGAACTCTTCTTTATAACTATTCAGAAGAAAATAAT